TCAAGGACAGTTATTTGCCATTTAGGAGACAAGACGCAGTAGGGATAAAAGAGACCTGGAGTCTTTTAGTCCTCCTCCTCGGAGGTACTCTAAAACGGTGGCAACAACTCAAACTCACTGTGAAGTGGATGGTTCACACAGTTAATAATAGAATGAGCCTTTCTAAGCACATTTCTATTGTAAATGGCCAAAAGTCCAACTTGCCAGCACCCTGAAATTTTTGCTAGCAGTTTTTACCAACCGATTCTTGTTCTTCACCATCAGGTTACCAAACCAGGCAGCGATACAAAAAGACATCACAGATTCGATAAAACTTCTTTAAAACAAGGACAACATCTCAGATGAGACGTTAAAAGATCTCATTTTCCTTAAAAAGAACAGTCTTTGTTGAACTTTTTTAGTAGTGGCATCAGCATGAGATTCAAAACAGTTTATGGTCGAGTACCACACCTAGATATTTATAACTCCCAACGATCCCAACATCGGCAGTTTTAATGATAGTGGGTGATGAGCTATAAGAGGACTTCCTAAAATCTATAATCATGTCTTTAGTTTTTGACACATTAAGTGAAAGGAAGGACTCATCACACCAATTCACAAAATCATCTACAACCTGTCCATGGCCTGACTCGTCCCCACTAGAAGACTGACGATCACTGTGTCGTCAGCAAACTTCAGGATGTGTCTGTTTGTGAAATTGCTGCGACACTCATTTGTGTACAGAATGAACAGAAGGGGAGAGAGGCAGCAACCCTGGGGTGATCCAGTAGAGGAGGAGAGCACATCAGAAAATACATGATTCACCCTCACGCATTGTGACCTATTAGTCAGAAAGTCTGTCACCCAGCCGACCAGACTAGTGTCAAGCTTGAAATGATTGTAGAGCCTGTCAGCAAGTAAGAGGGGTTGAATTGTATTAAATGCAGATGAAAAGTCAGCAAATAATAATCTTGCATGGGTGTGGGGGGCCTCAAGATGCTTATACAAGAGATGCAGGAGTGTGACAGCAGCGTCCTCCACACCTCTCCCTGCTCTATAGGCAAACTGGAAGGGGTCAAGATGGTGTTCAACATGCATTAAAATCTCCTTCTTAATTATCTTCTCAAATGTCTTCATCACTAAAGAAGTCAGAGCCACAGGCTCATTCAGTGCCTTAGGAGAACTGCCCTTAGCAACAGGAACAATGATCGCATGTTTCGAAATCTTAGGTTCTCAGTACCTGTCCACAGATGTTGTCAGGTCCAGGACTCTTGCTTTTGGTGTGTCTAAAAAGATTAGCTACCCCCCTCTCATCAATACAAAATGATGGGGGAGTGATGGTCTTTCCCCTCAGTGTGCTGGTCGGCCTAGAACAGTCAAAGTTCTCAAAACGAAGGTAAAAACTGTTAAGACTGTCTGCCAGATGTTTGTCAGAGGTAAACCCCTCTGAGGTAATGCTACTTTTACCTTTCGTCTGTAGCCCTGCCATTGTTTTCATACCAAGACAAGCTCTTTTGAGGTTGTTACTGCTGAGCTCTGCATCAATCTTATTTCTATACCTCATCTTGGCGATCTTTATTGCAGCCCTCACCTCCTTCCTCAATATTCTCACAGTGGGAACGTCTCCCTCGTTAAAAGCAATTTTCCTTTTAAGAATCAGATCCTTAATATCTTTAGAGAGCCACGGTTTGTTATTGGAGAAAGTCTTAGATTCTCTGACTGGAACCACAGAGTCTTTGCAAAAAGAGATGTAGCTACACACCACATCAGTGAGTTCATCCAAATCAGAAGTGCTCTCTTGAAACAAGGAGCAGTCAGTGCAATCAAAACACCCCTGAAGGGCAACACAACTGTCTTTTGTTCAGACATTAGTCCGCTTCACACAGGCCTTCTCCCTCCTAACCACAGATCTGTAAGCAGGGAGGAGGTGAACAACATTGTGATCCAAAGAACCTAGCGCAGGTCCAGCCAGACTTATATGCCCCCTTAATTGGTCCATAACACAAATCCACCGTTTTGTTATTCCTTGAAGGACAAGTGACATATTGAAAGAAATTGTTCAGTGATTTCTTAAGATTACAATTGTTAAAATCACCAAGAATAAAATTAGGAGCATCCGGTGAGGGAGTCTGCAGATTGTGTACCACTTTAAAAATGGCATCAGCAGCAACTTTAACGTCAGCCTTAGGATGAATGTAAACAACAGTGACAAAGATTTGAGGGAACTACCTCGGTAAGTAAAAGGCCTGACAGATACTGAAAGGAGCTCGATGTCAGGAAGACACAACCGCTCCCGCACAGTAAAGTTATTACACCAGCCCTGGTTGATATACAAACAAACCCCTCCTCCGTGAGATTTGCGTGTTACTCCACAGTTCCGATCTGACAGGGGTCCCAAAGCCGCTGATTCGCAGTGAAGTGTCACTGTCCATATCGGTCAGCCATGTCTCGGTAAGCGCCATCAGACAAGCCTCCCAGTATTCCCGTAGATGAAGCACATTCCCTTGTAATTCATCCGTTTTGTTCCTAAGAGACTGGACGTTGGCCAGAATCATAGAAGGCAGAGGAACACGATTCTTCCTCCGAAGTTTTCTTACACGCTGACGCACGCCGCCTTTCTTTCCGCGTTTTCTCAAGCGGCGGGGCTTTCCAAAATTAGTCTTTGACCGGGAAAATAAATCCTCACCAAGAAGCACATCTGTCCGAGCATTAGAAGAGTCGTACATAGACAAACAGGACCACCGTAATCCAAGTAGTTCTTCGCGTGTATAAGTGATTGTCAGTGAGAGTGAATGACTCCAGGTGAATATCGCCAACAACAATAAGACTAAGGTGTAGAAGATCTCCATCTCGGCAAAAAAAGTTAAAACCACGGTTAAGAACAGAGTTAAAACAAAGTTAAAAACAAAAAGAAAAGGAGAAAGAAAACGCCAATAAACACCTGCTGCAGGTCGCCACAAGAGCAGCGCCCCTGCGCTCTTCTCTCTTAACACAGTTTTCAGCTCCAGAGCCTGACTTATGTTCAAATCCTGTTTTTTGTGAGGGGCAACCAATCACAAGGCAGATAAATGGAACAGGAAGCAAAACCAGTGATGCAAGGATTATTTTAATGTTGACCTATCGCGACTTTTCTTATTATTTCTGTCACATCTATTTTTTGCATTAGTGGATACTCATATAAAACAATATTCAAATAATGACATTAGTGTAAATAAAAAATAATGAGATTTTTCAAACCACTTTGGGACTTTTTTAAAAACCTTTTTACAAAGTGACAGAAAGGAGACATTTTGGCCAAGAAGAAACAAAGCTGTGCCTTCATTCTTTAGACCTTTCTGCTGTGGTAGATGTAAGAAGAGCTTCATCGGGATGAAGACCATTTGGTCTTGGTGCCACCTCATGTTCTGCTTCTCAAACATTTTGAACATTAATCTTGTGCTTCTCTCTGTCGTTGCTCTTTCTTCACCCTTTGCTTGATTTAATTAAAATAATGTCAGGTCTATCCACAGATACAGGCGACCTCAGCGCTCTAAGATAACGTCAGTGCTGGAGATCAACACTGACAATGCCAGGCTATTCTAATTTTATAAATTAACAGCAGCTGAAAATGTCACTGTAATCAAACACCTATGTCTCTATTCTGGGGATCAGTAATGCTGTTTCCACTGGTGTCACAGACACACTAAAAGTGTCCCTGTGCAGACGTCAGGCTCGGCCGCTGACCTGATGTTCACAGGTGGAAATGTGCTGACTCAGCGCTGATGGGGTTTCGTCTGCTCACCTCAGTCAGCAGTTCTGAAGAAAGGGCTGGCTGTAGCAATAACTGAAGAGGCAACAGTCACCTCTGATCAGCCACACCTCTGTGTGACCCAGTAAAAGCTTCTTCACAGCTGTGGGTAAATCAGAGGATGAGCTAAAATACATCACATCTCAGCGCTGGGTTCAACACTGTGCTATATTACAGAGAAACAGTTAACATTCATAACAAAGCTTTAGCACTACAGCCAGGGATTTACTGATGATGGACAGGATGCTGCAGAAGCAGGCAGCAGGCTGCGCAGGCCGGGGAGACATCAGCCAGATGATCTATGACAACCGGAGCAGACCGGGCACAGAACAGGCTTCGGGATAGGTGCAAGAAAACACCTTATTGTGAATATAGTTTATTTATTTATTTCATTTTTGGCATGTTGCCTTTAAAAAATCTATGATTATAAAATACATTATCATACACACAATAATAGATATACCCTTCAGTCAGAGGAGTTTTACATGTGGAGTCATTTCAATCACTCACCTTGAACTGGAGGAAAATTGATTTTGAGACCAATTCTAAAATCTTTGGATTCACACCATGGGATAAGTCCAGCATTTCTTTAAAAATACCGATTACAGAAGTTTAATAGGATTTGATCTATTTATTTTATCATTAATTTGCTAATGCAAAATGGAAGCTGCGTGTTTCCCACCCTGGGTGGGTCGACATGGGAGGGCGCTAGGAAGAAAACATCCATCACAAACAATTATCTAATAACTGTCTTTAATCAGAAATCACTCAAATATTTGCCAATCAATGGAGAGAAGGGCAAAGTTCATGTACAAGTAGTCTGGTCGAGCCTGCATCACTGCTCTGGTGTGTTTGATGAAGATTTAGTATATAATTGTGTTTTTAAATTATTGTGTTTTTTTATTGCAGAGGTGTAATGTGTGCACAGTGACAGCTTAATGTGCTGAGTCAAGTGACCCACGGCTGCCTTCTGATCAGGATGTTTCTAAGAAACACACACACATACACACAAACAGTGTGTGTGTGCCCATCCTCAGGCCCTGCTGAGTCTGCTGTTTCTCAGCTGTTGTGAGCAGCAGTTTTCTTGGTGTCATAGTGAGAAGATGCCTTGTCACACTTACATGTTTCAGATCATCTAAGCATTTCTAACGTTGGACAAAAATAGCCAGACTTAATATAAAATATATGATCATTTCTGTCACGGTTGAGGATAGAGTGGACTCAGGTGCGGAGCTCTGAATATAACCAGTGCATTTATTTACAGTGGATAAAGGCTGACAATAGTTTGACTGTGCAATAGTGGCTGGTGCTCAGACTGTGCGTGGTAGTGGGTGCCCGTCTCTCCTCCAAGTGTCTCCTTGTGCTCGTGTATCCTCCGTCCCAATTCCTAGTCGCACACAGACAACAACAGTAAATTACCAAATATAGCTGACAACACTTAGCTACATGAATGGCTTGTAACACTGTTAGGCTTAGTGCAATATACTCCAGCGCTGTCTGTCGCTCAGCCACACCATTAAATAGTCCTGCCTAAGATGGTGGATGATTGGTAGCAGCTGGTGAAGAATAAGTTGCAGATGAGGTGAGAAGGGTCTGGCTGCAGCCACTGGGGAGCGCTGTATTGCGACCTCCACAGTAACCGGAAACATGTGACCTCCACAGTAGGCGTTCCCTGCATGGATACAGTGGAAACGGTAAGTAAGTAAGAAAGTAAGTACACGCTTACTGCCGAGCTTAGCAAATGTAACCTTATAATATGGTAGGAACATTGTGTCAACTCAGACTTCAGTGATGTTACTTACTGACCCGAATGAGCTGTTGTGTTTTGTTTCAGACTGGATTTACAGAAATGCTCACTGAATGTGTTGGCAATAAAGGAAATTAAAAAAATGAGTTGGATGTACTTAATTCATTTGTGTGGAATCTGTTGACAAAATAGATTTATGTAAAACTAATTAATAAAGCATAAGGTGGCTGAAAATATAATATTTGAATTAATCTAACTTAAATTTAACATTTTACTGCCAAAAATAAGAAATGTGTTTAAGTAACTAATCTAAACCATCTAACCTGTAAATGTATCATTTATGTTCATACAACATAGATGACTTAAAGATTTTTGCTTTAAACTAACACAATGCAATTTCAAAATAAAAAGCTTACAGTTGCTATTAACATTAGATCAGATTAGATAGAACTTTATTAATCCCTCGGGTGGGTTCCTCTGGGAAATTCGATGTTCGATTAATGTATTACCCTGCAATCAATAATATTTTTATACATTTTACGCATTAACCCTCTGGGCAACTATCCAGGCCATTTGTGGCCACTTCACTTTTTTGACCATTTTTGCTGCGTTAATGGAAATGGAATGAATGGGTCTAGATTTGCTTCAAGCAACTCAAAGAAGTCCAGACGCTTTTCTTTCCAAGCTCCTTAGACAATAAATTATGACGCATCAAATATTACACAGGCTGCAATGAATCTCTGTTGATACAGGCTATTGAGCTTTGAGTTTCCCAGTCAAACTTAGCTCTGAAACACATGCTAAAAACACTTTCACTCTTGTAGATTTCATAACAAGATAGCATAGCCAAAATATTAACTCTCAAAAAAAAAAATAAAAAAAATTCAAAGCTGCTGCACATACAGCAACAAACACTGTTAGTAAATGTTTCCTGGAGTTTGTGCAGGTGCAATAAGTGCTACTGCTGTAACAGCTTCAAGATCACTTATTTTTCTGGAAAGATGGCAAGAAGGGCATTACTGCTCATTTCTACAATCTCCCACATCTTGGAATAGAAGCCTTTGTCCCATGAAAACCACTTCACAGTAGGAGTCCTCTAAAACCTACAAATGAAGAGTGATCCTGGAAGAAATGGGGCACACACTAGTGACCTCAACAATTGCAAGAGCGCCTTGTCCCCGATGCTCAGATGAAAAAAAAAAAAAGGAAGTTTCATGAAAACATTAGGACTTCATCACCTGCTTATCTGAAAAGTTACTGGTAATATATAACCTAACCTAACTGGCATTTAAAGAGTAAAAAAAAAGGATGTAGATAAAATTTTGGTTTTGATGAAAAGGACTGCAACTAATTTTAAGTGTCAAATCGGTAAAAGTCGATAAATGTTTTAATAAATATACATTTTATAGCTTTTTATAACATTGGCCAAAAAAGTGGCCAACGAACAAGCTGGGAGAGAGTTTTATATTTTTTGCTGTCCTTGAACAAAAATAACAGTGCATGATAATCAGTGTTGATGTTAATCAATTAGATGTCCCAGACACTATTAATGATACAGTGGTCCCTCGTTTATCGTGGGAGTTACGTTCTAAAAATAACCCGCGATAAATGAAATCCGCGAAGTAGCCAACTTTATTTTTTACAATTATTTTAGATGTTTTGAGACTGTAAAACCCCTCACTACATGCTTTATACACTTTTCTCAGACTGGCATGAACATTTTCACACTTTTTTTCTTTTGTTTAAACACTCTTAAAGTTCAAACCTTCATAGAAACATAAGTCCAGTATTATAGAATGAAACCGTGCAAAACGTTTTGTCAGCATTGTTGTGTTTGTTGGGGAGAAAACTTACATCACTTCACTGCTAGCGATCGAAGGTATATGTAAATTTGACAAGCTAAACTCATTCTGTACTGTACAGCAGTGGTCCCCAACCTTTTTTGCACCACGTACCAGTTTAATGTCAGACAATATTTTCACGGACCAGCCTTCAAGGTGTCGCGGTTAATACAACAAAATAAAATGATACAGACAAAGACAACAACAGTGGTATTTTGTAAATATTAAAAAAAAATTGTAATTATGTAACTTTATTAGCAGCGTCCTCCTGAAATGCGCCAACAACATTGAGACTAACATCCTCATCTCTGTTTCTTAATGCTCTCTGGTCACTATGGTAACACATAAATAGTTCTTTCAAAATAAGACACAAAACTACAACCATACATTTCACAGCCGAGCCTCAACTCTCGCGGCCGGTACCGGTCCGTGGCCCTGTTGGGGACCCCTGCTGTACAGGAAACACAGCAATAGATTGATTGACAATGGTCTACAGCAATCAGAATGCACAACACAATGTGATGTAAAAAATATATATATATTATGCCAAAAAAGTAGCAAAAAAACAAAAACAATAAACATAACAGATGGACACTTTTGTCCATGCACAAGCTGAAGGGACATGACCGACCTGGTCATGTTTATTTCTCTGCAGCATCAATAGCAACAAAAACGCAATTTAGTTTTCGATGTCAAAGTCAATTTAACCGAAGTCACGTGTTTCCGGTTACTGTGGAGGTCACGATATGGCGCTCCCCATTGGCTGCAGCCAGGTGCTCTTGGGTGAGGCAGCTCAGGGCGACAGCTTTTCCGGGTCCCTCGTTGCTACGCAACCTCCGTAAACAATCGCAACAGAGCCGGAGAGAAAGAGCGAGAGAGAGAAAAACACACACACGCATATACACACAGGCAGGTCGACCGGTCGGGGCACCGTCCGACCCTGACAATTTCATTTATTTAATGAAAAGGTATCCTCTGGTCCTGTGTGAGAAAGTAAATACCCCTCTTGTTAAATCATGAATTAACTGTGAGTAACCACATGCTAATCACAGAACCTGTCTGACAACGAGAGGTAGGCTAAAAAACCAACAAATTATGCCAGAATCTCGAGAAAGTCAAGAGCAGACGAGTCATTGAATAATGACTAAGTAGACTCAAACTAAAGTCAGCACATTTATTCCAAAGCAATCCCCCCAGCGAATGTAATAACTACTTCCTGTTCGGTATCTTAGATCGTGGAGGACAAAAAGTTTCAAACTTTTGTGCAGGCCTTAAACCCCATATGTGTTTTTACCCAGTAGTAATGAATGCATGAAAATACAGTGTTTAAGGATACACTGAATACATAATTGCTTACCAACACACAGACCATTCATATTTCCTAAATTAGGCTGAAATAGAAGGAGAGCCCCGGGGCTATCCAGGACACGCTGGAGAGATTATATCTCTCGGCTGGCCTGTGAACGCCTTGGTGTCCCCCCGGATAAGCTAGAGGAGGCGGCTGGGGAGAGGGAGGTCTGGGCTTCTCTGCTTAGGCTGCTGCCTCCGCAACCCGGCCCTGGATAAAGCGGAAGAAGATGGATGGATGGATGGATAGAAGGAGAGCAAAAGCAGAGCTCCCAAATGAGGAGCCCTTTGGGAGTTGTAAGAGCCAGCTCCAGTAAGGAACCCAAGCCAAAGAGCCAAATGTTTGAAAAGAGCCAGACCTCCCATCACTATTATTGACATCTTTCAGTTTGCAAAGGGTTACAAAGGTTTTTTTAAGGCATTCATGGAGCAATTACCCATAAATGGAGAAAACTTGGAACAGTGGGGAACCGGCATGGCCAGCCTAACAAAGTTACTACAGGAGCACATTAATGACTCATGCAGGAGGCCACAGAAGAACAAGGAACAACTTCTAAAGAACTGCAGGTCTAAATTGGCCAAGTTAAGGTCCAAGTCCATAATTCAGCAATAAGACGAAGACTGAGCAAAACTGATATCCCCTGGGAAGTTCCAAGGTGAACGTCACTGCTGACCAAAAAAAACACAAAGACTCACATTTGCCAAAAACATCTTGATCCTGAGACTTTTGGGAAAATCAGGACGTGGATGACTTGTGTTTGTACTTGGGTCCATTTCTTCAGTATGTAATAGTGTTTGTGTTCAAAACATGAAGAAAACCTTAAAGAAGATGCAGTTTGTTGTCTGAACAATGTACAATGTTTGCACCTTGAGGCTACTGTTGTTGTGATTTGGAGTTATATAAATAAAACTGAATTAAATGAAACTGAAAGGATCCGGAAAGAACAAACTGGGGTGAAGCGTTGTCATCTTTCTTTACTGAGCAGCACTACAGAGTGCCTTTTTGATGGTGTGTTCAGTGTGAATGTTGGCTTTCTGCTCATTCATACTTTCCACATGCACTGCATATAACCCCTCTCACTGGGCTGGCTGGCGTTGCAGTATTGCAGTAATTCTATCCTTGTATAGAATATCCTTGTCACTTGTCATCAGTGTGTCCTGGATCCTCAGCAGCTGATGCACACCCTGTTAACCCGGGTGCCATCTGAGCCAGTATGGCTTTCATGCTCTGAGGCAGGCTTGGTGGGCCTTGACTGAGGACCTGGTCGTGCATTTTTTTTTTTAAAGATGCCTGCGTGATCCTCGGGCTTGGGTTCTCTACTAAAGGTTTTTAAGGTTCAACACAGTATCTTAGCTGTTTCCTTCGACTGGACTCTTCTAGACAGTGACCTCTGAAGTTGTGCCTGGAATCTGTTTTGGGGCATAGCTCCTACTGCCCCTATTACCACTGGGACCACTTTGGACTGCATTGTCCACATCTGGTCCAGTTGTCACAGATGTTCCTGGACATTATCCCAGCCACTTGGTTGTGCCCCTGACTGTACACTATCCTGCTGCTATGTATTAGATAGTCTCTTAGTATTTAGACTCCAGGGCTCGCTGTGCTGTCCTGTAAGCTAGATATTTCAAGCCACTGGTAGAATGTCATCCACTTCCTCGAGCCATCTCAGGGGGGTCATCTTGCTGATATATAAGAGGATGAAATTCATCTTGGATTGTGGCACTCACTAATGCTTGCCATCACTCTTTCTGTTGCTCACACAGACTCAGTGAGTTAGACTTCAGGTGGAGACCATCCAGTGTAAGACGTTTTCATGGCTGATGGCTATTCCACCCCTGAATCTATATTTGCATCCACTCTTGCTGACTTAGGGGGTTGACATAATTTATAGAAGAAAGAATTTAAACGTTTACAAGGTTACAATGAAAAAATAATCACTGAAATAAAAATTCACTACTTTCCCAATAGTATTATCTCATCTGTCCTCACTTGAGCAACATCCCGTTCTTAATGCATTGGGTTTGATATGATGTTGGCCCACCCTTTGCAGCCATAACAGTTTCAACTCTTCCACAAGGTTGAGGAGTGTATTTCTGGGAACTTTTGACCACTCCTCCAGAAGAGTATTTTTGAGGTCAGACACTGATGTTGGACCAGAAGGCCTGGCTTACAGTCCCTTTTCTAATTCATCCCAAAGGTCTTCTTTCAGGTTTCAGTCAGGACTGTGTGCAGGCCAGTCAAGTTCTCCAACACCAGTCTCACGCATCCACGTTTTTATAGATCCTGCTTTGTAGACTGGAGCACATCCATGATGGAACAGGAAGGAGCCATCCCCTAACTGTTCCTACAAAACTGGAAGCATGAAATTGTCCAAAATGCCTTGGTATGTGAAGTATTAGGAGTTCATCTCAGTGGAACTAAGGAGCCGAACACACTCCTTGAAAACAACCCACAGCGTAATCCCCCCCCAAGGAATAGGATGTCAACCATCTCTGCTTAGTCAACAGGCTGTGTTACGTCCCTCTGCAGCTTCTAATCGTCTCAGTGTTTTCAGCTGGTGCTAATTGGCCACACCTAGTCAGGTGTGGATAAAAGCATACCTGAGGCAAGCTTCCCGGCAGTGCACTAGTCTTTGCCTTGGTGGCACCAGCCATTTTAGCCAACCTGGTTTTCCATTTTAGGATGAAACCTCTTCTCACCCACACTCTGTTATTCATCTCTGTTTTTATGTTGCGGCTTTTGAGCCGGGTCGTAACATAAGTGGGGGCTCGTCCGGGATCTTTGGACATTTTAGTGGAGACTGAATGTCAGTTTGTTTTGCTTTTAAGTGGGTGAGTGATGGTGTTCAGTGTAATTGTGCAAACTCCCTTTAGTAAGTGTGTTTCAGCTGGGTGGCTGTGCTGCCCTTCCATCGAAGCACTTGTTTGTTGTTTTGCTTTATTGTTTTAGTTTATTGTGTTTGGTGGCTATCCTGGGTGGGGGTACGCTTCAGAGTTTGGTAGGAGACTATATCTCTGGTCTGCTGCCTGCTCTCGAGTTCGCGTTTAAAGTTGCCTCGAGCCTGGTACACCACTGAAGACTAGGGTAGGAAAAGTAAGGGTTTTGTTGTTTTTAGTGTTTTAGGCTGGGAGTTGCACATAGTAAATCAGTGGCACCAAACTTGGTAGGAGGTTTGAGACTATTCATGATTATGGTCTGTAGCTGAGGCAGGTAGGCTGTTTTTAAGTTGGCATTGTGTGTACACCATGTGTGTGCATATGTCAGTGTTGATAGATGCTAATGAGATCCTTGTGAGGTGAGCGTTTTGTGATGTGACCTTTAGTGTTGTGGGGAATATGGCTATTTTGTTGGATCACTTGTGAGTGTTGTTGGCCAGGTGATGGCAATAACACTGTGGGGTGCTGAGCCACCCTTGATG